TTTTTACATCACTAATTATTATTTAATCCGTTCATTTGATTACTCAACTCAAACTTACGGCCGTGACTCCCAGCATCCGACTCACAGCAACCCCTCCTTGGGTTTCCAAGGCGGTATCTCTATGGTGGTAGATTGCCCAACTTTCCTTCCGAGGAGTGGCTGGTGGGTCTGGTTAGCAGTGAAATGCCTTAGACACTATGCTACCAGAATTATTAGTTTACTTAAATTATTATTAAAACAGATTGTAAAAGATAACGTGCATCTTTAAATTACACATAACTTGTACTTAATTTTATAAAAATGCAGTCACTGCATTGTAACTTGCGCGTTGTAAGCCGTGTGAGCGAGGACAGAGCTCTCTGTGTTGGCCAGCAGCGCCCTCCGAGTGCCTGGAGTGGACACGGAGCGCCGGCAGTGCTAGGCCCTGGCGGGCTGGCTGCCTGGAGACGGCTTCTAGCTAGAGGGCTTAGGAAAGGGGAGGGGCTGTCCAGTCCTGCGGTCCCTGCTCACAGGCTGCTGTGTCTAGAGGATAGCACACACAGTGGGAGCCATTCTGAGAACATGATTAAAATGACCGTGCTGGCGGGAGGAAGCCACGCCACAGACGTGCAGACCTCAGGCTAAGGAAGGGGGCATCCCAATCGTAGCCCTGTTACTACGTGTCCGTCGGCCTGAGTGAGCTCATCTCTTTTGTCCCAAGGCCTCTCCGGGTAGAATGAGGGTAACAACAGGGCCCTGTGCACAGGCCTGGGTGTGCACTGCACTGCACAGCATGTGGATGGGTGGATGGCTGCCTGCTGCCCCCACTGGACCTCTGCCCCTACCTGCCCTGCCACCCCCCCACCCGTCAGGCCTCCCATCAAGCCTCACATGCGGGCGCCTCGGCTGTGGTCCTTGCTGAGGCCCTGGAAGTTCACAGACCTGACTCCCGCCCTGTCCTCACTCACACAGCTTACAACGCACAAGTTATAATGCAGTGACTGCATTTTTATAAAATTAAGTACAAGTTATGTGTAATTTAAAGATGAACGTTATCTTTTACAATCTGTTTCAATAATAATTTAAGTAAATAATTAAGAATTCAGTAATCAAATGAATGTATCAAATAATAATTAGTGATTCAAATAAATTAATACTGCTGTTGTTGTTATGTGCTGTGGTGTCGGACCAGACTCATAGCAACCCTTCTTTGGGTTTCCGAGGCAGTATCACTACAGAAGTAGGTTGTCCCATCTTCCTTCAGAAGAGTGGCTGGTGGGTTTGAACCGCCAGCGTTCTGGTTAGCAGTCAAGTGCCTTAGGCACTACGCCACCATAACTGCCAAATAAATTAATAGATGTAGTCTTTTAATGATTTTCGTATTTGCCTCAAAC